CAGTTGTGGGAAACTGCCAGGCACATCTCATCAACAAAGGTAACTGCATAATGAACATTTGTATACCTAACCCTGAATTGTACTCCATAGCTTTAAAATAAAATAAATAAAATGCAGAAAAAGGAAAGACATCATTAAGATGACTTACTAAAGGTACCTAGCACTGTTCTTCTCCACAAAGGACCAAGATGACAAATAGATAACAATACATTGAATACAGCATCTAAAAAAGAGCATTGAAATTTGGCAAATAAGTGATAAAGACACTCTGAAGTACAGATACTGGAAATGGCAGCATAGACAGGAAAGTGAAGCAGTTGGCCAGGGTCAGCTCGAAGTCAAGAGGGACTTCCCATTGCAGGGAAAATATAAGTGAGAGCTACCCAGCAGTCCACATTCCCACCACAGACACCCACAATTCTACCTACAGGACTGCCCCTCAGTCTAGTAGAGTAAGCTGTTTGGCATCCATCTGACTGCATTGTTCCAGAGAGAATTCAGAGTGAGTCCTTCCTATCCCCCAGGACCCAGGCCACTGCAGCGTGGCATCATTCTGAAAGTGAAGACACCACCAGACAGCATCCAGACCCAACAGCTCCAGCATCTACATCCTGAGGCTTCAATGGCATCCTCCCAACCCAACCAAGGGGACTTAGTATCACAACACCAGCTGGACCCTGTGGCACAGCCATGTCTCTAGCACCTAAGCCCAGGCAGTGTCTTACACCTCAGGAAACAGGTGGTCCAGCACATCAGGGATGCTGTGGGAACACGGGGAGCTGAAACATATACCCCCAAAGAATACGGGAACCATCTGCTAGGTCAGCACTGCCCACAGGGATCCTGAACCCTCTAGCAGTGGAGCTATGTGTGTCACTTAGGGACTCACAGACTAGCATATTGCCATCACCACTGGTGATTCCATCCCCTCCAGCAGCAGGGCCACTGCAAGCTTGTGTGTACTACCCAGGGGACTGAGAATCAGCTTGCCTGAAACCTGTTACCATCACCGTTGGTATCTGCATGTGCCATCCAGGGGTCCAAGAACCAGCTCATCATCACCAGTGCTTGCACACGATACCTAGGCACCTGAGGACTGGCTTACCTAGGGTCCACCATCATTACTGTTGGAAAACCCTCTCACTTCGGGAATGAGGCCACCATATACCTCCACATGTTCCCCAAGAGACTTAGGACTTACCTGCTGAGTGTCCCCATCCTCAGCAAAACTGCCCAAATAACCACAGCCTAAGCTACTGAGAAACTCACATACACTGCTGAGATGATGCTATAGCAATATCCAGAACCAGAGCCAAAGCATCCTACCCAACTGACACTATACGTATGCATCTACAGGGGAAAAAAAGTATGTTCCCTTCAAAAGCTACTCCATAAAATTGGAAGAAGCAATTGAAGCCTCAGCATGCAGATACTGGAGCTGTTGGGTCTGGATGCTGTCTGGTGGTGGCTTCTACACCAAATACACAGATATCAATGTGGGCACACAAGAAACATGGAAAAACAAGATAACATGACGCCTTCAAAAGAACAGACCCTAAAGAAAATTATTCTTCAGTAACAGACCCTAAAGAAAAGGAAATGTCTAAAAAGAAATTCAGAATAATGATCTTAAGGAAACCCAGCAAATACAACAGAACACTGATAGACAATATAAAAGAGTTAGGAAAACAATCCATGATTTAAATGAGAAATTCAACAAAGAGAAAAATATTATTAAAGAGAAACAAAGAGAAATCCTAGAATGGAAGAATTTAATAAATGAAATAAAAAATATCATTGAGAGCTTCAACAATGGGCCAGATCAAACAAAAGAAAAAATGTATTAACTTTAAAGATAAGTCTTTAAAAAATAGGCCACTGGGCAGCAGAATGAGACTTCAACTAAAAAAAAAAAAAATCCCAGTTATACTAAAAAAAAAAAAAAAAAATTGAAAAGAATGAAGAAAGCCTATGTGACATATGTAGCAATGTTAAGCAAACAAATGTTCTCATTTTGAGAATTCCAGGAAGAGAAGTGGGAAAAGCCCTCAAAAATCTTTTCAATAAAATAATAGCTGAAAAAATGTCCAAGTTTTGGGAGAGATGTAGGCACCCAGAAACAGAAAGCTCTAAAATTCCCTATAGATTCAGCCCAAAAAAGTCCTGTCTAAAGCACATGATAGTCAAATGTCAGAATTCAAAGGCAATGAGAGAATTCTAAAAACAGCAAGAGAAAAGCATCAAGTCACATATAAGGGAATCACCAGCAGACTAAAAGCAGATCTCTCAGAAGAAATCTTACAGGCCTTAAGAAAATGGGATGATATATTCAAAGTGAAAAAAAAAAAAAACAGCTTGTGAGTCAAGATACTATAGCCAGCAAAACTGTTCCCTAGAAATAAAAGAGAAATAAAATCTTTCCCAGACAAGCAAAAACTGAGGGCATTTGTCTTCAAAGTCTTGTATACTGGCCCTACAAGAAATACTTAAAAGAATTCTACATCTGGGAGCAAAAGGGCAATATTCACCATTATGAAAATATAAGAAAGTGTAAGACTCACTGGTAGAGCAGATACACAAATAAGAAAGAGAAAAAAAATCAAACATTATCACTACAAAAAACCACTAAACTGCAAGAATAAACAATGAGAGAGAAAGAAAAAAAGTTATACATAACAATCAAAAATCAATTAACAAAATGCCAAAAGTAAGTCCACATCTATCAATAACAACTCTGAATGTAAATGGTTTAAATTCCCCAATTAAAAGATACAGACTATATACCTGTATGCTGATGATGTGATTTTATATCTACAAAATAAAAAAGACTCCTCCAAAAGATTACTGGACTTGATAAAATGAATTCAGTAAAATCTCAAGATACGAAATCAACAGACACAAATCAGTAGCATTGTTATACACCAATAGTGACCAAAATGAGAATCAAATCAAAGACTCAATGCCATTTACAATAGCAGCCCCAAAGCTAAAATACCTAGGTATATATTTCACCAAGGAGGTGAAATATTTCTACAAGGAGAACTCTAAAACTCTGATGAAAGAAACTAAATGACATTTAAAAATGGAGAAACATCCCATGCTCATGGATTAAAAGAATCAATATTGTTGAAATGACCATATTACCCAAAGTAAACTATAGATTCAACACAACCCCTATCAAACCACCAACATCATTTTTCACAGAACTAGAAAAAAAAAAAATCCCAAAATACAAATGGAACCAAAAAGCCAGAATAGCCAAAACAATCCTTAGCAAAAAGAACGAAGATTAAGGTATCACATTACCTGACTTCATATTATACTACAAAGCTATAATAACCAAAACAGCATTGTACTGGTACAAGAGCAGACATACAGACAAATGGAACAAAATAGAGAATTCAGAAATAAACCCAAATACTTACAACCAACTGATCTTTGACAAAACAGGCAAAAACATGCACTAAGAAAAGGACACCGTACTCAACAAATGATTTCGGGAAAAATTGGATAGCTACATATAGTAAAATGAAATTTGATCCCTAACTCTCACCATATACAAAAATTAACTCAAGATGGATTAAAGACTTAAATGTCAGGCTGAAAACCATAAAAATTCTAGAAGAAAACATAGGAAATAATCTAGACATTGGCCTTGGCAAAGAAATTATGGTTAAGACTCCAAGAGCAAATGCAAGAAAAACCAAAATAAACAAGTGGGACTTAATTAAACTAAAGATCTTCTGCAAGGCAAAATAAATAATCAACAGAGTAAATAGGCAACCTGCAGGACAGGAAAAGATATTCACAAACTATACATCCAACAAAAGACTAATATCCAGAATCTACAAAGAACTCAAACAGATCCTCAAAAAAGAAAAAAAAAAAGCAAATAACTCCACTAAAAAGTGTCAATTGACATGAATAGATATCTCTCAAAAGATCTACAAATGACCAATAAACATATGAAAAAATGTTCAACAACCATAATCATCAGGGAAATGCAAATTAAAACCACACAGCAGTCAGAATGGCCATTTTTTAAAAAATCAAGAAGCAGTCGATATGGGCATGGATGCAGTGAAAAGGGAACACTTACATGCTGTTGGTGGGAGTGTAAGTTAGTACAACCTCTATGGAAATCAGTATGGAGATTTCTCAAATAACTAAAAGTATATCTACCATTTGATCCAGCAATCCCACTACTTGGTATCTACCCAAAGGAAAAGAGGCCATTACACCAAAAAATAAAAATAAAGTCACTTGCACTTACATGTTTATTTCAGAGCAATATTCATTCCATGAAATACTATTCAGCCATAAAAAATAATGAAATAGTATTTTTTGCAGCAACTTGGATAGAATTGAAGGCCATTATCCTAAATGAAGTAGTGAAGGAATGGAAAACCAATACTGCATGTACTCAAGTATAAGTGGTAGCTAAACTGAGGATCTGCAAAAGCATAGAGAATGATACAATGGACACTGGAGACTTGAAGGGAGAGAATGGGAAGGTGTGAAGGGATGAAAATCATCTCTTGGGTACAATGTGCACAGGTGGAGGTGGTGGGTGCACTTAAAGACCAGACTTTTTCACCACTATACAATGCACACATGTAATCAAAAACCATTTGTATCCTCCTAAAGCTATTGTAATTAAATAAAGTTTTGTGTAAGCAAAATAAAATAAAAGACATAGACTGGTTTAATGGATTTTTTAAACATCAAAAGCCAGTTATATGCTGCTTACAAGGAAATTACTTCCCCTGTAGACACACATAGACTAGAAGTAAAGGGATGAAAAGAGATATTCCACCCAAATAGAAACCAAAAGTGTGCAGGAGAAGCTATACTTATACCCGACAAAGTTGACTTTACGTAAAAAAACATAAAAAAAGACACAAAGGTCATTACACAGTAATAAAGGAATCAATTCAACAAGAGAATAAAACAAATGTAAACAAATATAATACAATGTAATGTAAATATAGGGAGACGCGAGCTAAGGCCGAAGTTAGGACCTGACAAGATGGCCGGGCTGCCCCGCAGGGTCATCAAGGAGACCCAGCGTTTGCTGGCAGAACCGGTTCCTGGCATTAAAGCAGAACCAGGCAAGAGCAACGTCCGTTATTTTCATGTGGTCACTGCTGGCCCCCAGGATTCCCCCTTCGAGGGAGGGACTTTTAAACGTGAACTATTCCTCCCAGAAAGATACCCAATGGCAGCCCTTAAAGTATGTTTCGTGACCAAAATCTGTCATCCTAATGTAGACAAGTTGGGGAAAATAGGTTTCGATATTTTGAAAGATAAGTGGTCCCCAGCACTGCAGATCTGCACAGTCCTACTCTCGATTCAGGTTTTGTTACGTGTTCCCAACCCAGATGACCCGTTAGCAAAGGACATAGCAGAGCAATGGAAGACCAAGGAAGCCCAAGCCATAGAAACAGCAAGAGCATGGACTAGGCTCTATGCCATGAATAATACTTAAATCCATCTGATCATCAATGTCACTTCTTTTCTGCCATGACTTCTTCCTTTTTTTGTTTGCATTTAATGGACACAGTCTTAGAAACATTCAGAATAAAAGCCCAGACATCTTTAGTCCTTTGGTGATTAAATGCACATTAGCAAATCTCTGTCTTGTCCTGATTCACTGTCGTAAGCATGCGCACAGGCTAGCAGTATCATCTGGATTGTCACGAAGTGTGTAAAAGCAGCAGCCTCTGTATTTGTTCATTGCCCCATCATGGTTTAAGTATGAAGCACTGTGAATGAAGGTAGTTGTCAGGGTTAGCTGCAGGGGGGTGGGTGTTTTTCTTTATTATATTTCTTTGAGGAGGGAGGTAGTTGTATTTTAATTTTACGGGCTCCTTTCCCCCTTTTTGTGGTGATCTAATTGCATTGGTTGAAAGCAGCTAACCAGTTATTTAGAATATGCTCCCTAGCCAAGTCTAACTTAATTTAGACGCTGTAGATGGACAAACTTCACTGTTTGAACCAAAATGAGAACGTTAAACAAACATCATAGCCCTCACTAATGACATTGTGACTTTGCTGTCAAGTGTAGATTCCCTCCTTCAAAAAGAGCTTGTGACCATTTTGTATGACTTGTCTGGAGACTTATGTAAATCTTATGTTTTAGTAAAATACTTTTTTGGTTTTCTACTTTGCCTTGTACAGTTTATTTTACTGTGTTTATTTCATTTTCCCAATGTGACAATCATATTTGAACATTAAAACTCTGGTGGAACATTCTGTTTTGGTCTTTACCATCTTACAAATTAAATGAAAGAGTTTGATTTTGCCAGTTTCTTTTCACTGATGCAAATTTGTGTTACGATATTATTGAATGGAGTGTTTGTAAGCTGGTCCTGTGTATGCATAAGGTATCAATATCTGGCTTTTTAAAAATTTCATGGCTATTTGAATCAAACATATGTTGTCTGGTTGGGTAGATGGCCACTGGCCTCTGGCTGCAGTGTGTGAAAATCACTGTCCAAGACAGTCAGTCGTAGCAAAGAAAGTGGTTGTGACCAACGTGTAGGACTTTCACATGTTGGGCCGCATTGTTGCCTCAAACTTGGATTTTGACCTTTTTCTCAGTTCTTGTCTGGTGTGTTGACCCTCACCTGGGGTATGCTGAGGCATTAGTGAGTTTCCTCACCACCTGATGAGCAGATCTCCAGTAGTGTCGCAGAAAGGCTTCCTCAGGAGACCCTCCCGCCCGGGTGCCCTTGCCTGCTTTCACCCCATTAGACATGGCAATGGGAGCTCCTGTTAGTCCTGAATTTGGTATTCAGGATTGTTTTCTTCTCTCACAGTTCCTCCCCTCACAAAACCACTCCCTACCGCCTCTATCTCCAGTTCCTGACCCTTGTTATTTAAAGTCATAAATGTAACTGGTCCTATGTAAATGTTGACCTTCAGTGGAACCTCCTCTCTTGCAGTTTAAGGTAATGGATATTGTAACCCATCTGAATTTTCCTCACTCTTATTCTCATAATTCTGGAGTTTCTTCAGAAATTGGTGTATTTTATTGTGCTCCTATGTAAGATGAAGAATTCTTTATTAAAATTACGTTTTCAACATAAAATATATATATATATAATATAATATAATATAAATGCATCCAACGGCCAGAACATCCAGATATAAAACAAATATTATTAGAGATACAAAAAAAGAGATATAAATCTCATATAATAATAGTTGAGGTTTCACCACCACACTTATAGCATTGGACAGATCATCTAGACAGAAAATCAACAAAGAAATATAGGATACAAACTGCACTATAGAACAAATGGACCTAACAGACATTTACAGAACATTTCATCCATCAGTTACAGAATGCATTCTTCTTATCAGCCTGTGAAACAGTCTTCAAGAGTAACCATATGTCAGATCACAAAACAAGTCTCAACTAGTTTTTAAAATTATAAACTCTCTAAAATACTTCTCAGACCACAATTGACACTATTGAATAAAACTAGAAATCAATAACAAGAGTTTTGAAACTATGTAAATACACGGAAATTAAATGACATGCTCCTGAATGATAAATGGGTCACCGAAGAAATTAAGAAGGAATTTTTAAAAATTATTGATACAAATAAAACTAGAAATACAACATACCAAAACTTGTGATGTACAGCAAAAGTAGTATTAAGAGGAGAGTTAAGAGAAATAAATACCTACATCAAAAAAGTAGAAAAAGTTTAAACAAACAACCCAATAATGCACCTCAAGAAATAGAAATGCAATAGCAAACCAAACCCAAAATTAATAGAAGAAATAATAAAGACCAGAACAGAAATAAGCAAAAGAGACACTAAAAAATTTTAAAAGATCATCGACAAAGTGAAAAGTTGTTTTTTTAAGAGATGAGCAAAATTGCCAAACTATTAGCTAGAGTAAGAAGACTCAGAAAAATAAAATATGAAACAAAAATTCTACAACTGATTGCAAAAAAAAATAGAAAGTATCATTACTTTCTACTGGTAATAAGCATCTCTCATCATAGAAAACCTCATGATGAGGTGACTTTACTGCTGAATTCTACCAAATTTTTAAAGAACTAACACCAATTTGTCTCAAACTATTCCAAAAAAAACTGAAGAGGAGGCAATACTTTCTAATTTATTCTAGAAGGCCAGCATTAACCTGATACTAAAACTAGACAGGAGCACACACAAAAAAATGAAACTATAAGCTAGTATCCCTGATGAACAAAGATGCAAAAATCCTCAGCAAAATACTAACCAACAAATCCAGCAACACATCACAAAGATATTACACCATGATTATGTGGGATTTACCCTAGAGATACAAGGATGGCTCATACACAAGTCAAAAATTGTGATATATCATATCAACAGAAGGAAGAACAAAAAACCATATGATCCTCTCAATAGATAAAGAAAAAGCATTTGCTAAATTTCAACATTCTGTCATGATGAAAACTCTCAATATACTAGGCATAGAAGGAATATACCATTACACAGTAAAAGCAATATATGATAAACCCACAGCTAACATCATACTGAATGGGGAAAGTCTAAAAGCCTTTCCTCTAAGAACTGAAACAAGACAAGGAGGATCACATTCACCATTCTTATTCAAAATAGTGGTAGAACTCCTAGCTAGAGTAATTAAGCAAGAGAAAGATATAAAGTTCACCTAAGAAAAAAGGGTTGACAGTAGCTGGAAACTGCAGGGGTGAGGGTGGGAAGGCGGATTGACAGTAGTGGAAATCTGCCTGGGGAAGTGGAGACACACCTCATCAACAAGGGTACCTACACAATGAATATTTGAATACCTAACCCTGAATTGGACCCCACAATTTCAAAATAAAAAATTTTAAAAGTTAAAAAAATAGAAAAGAATAAGTAAAGTTATCCCTCTTTGCTGATGACATAATTTTATATAGAGAGAAAATTAAAGACTTCACCAAAAAAACTCTTAGAACTGATAAATCAATTCAGTAAAGTTGGAAGATCCATTTATTTTTATTTATTTATTTATTTATTTGAGTTGGAGTCTCACTCCTGCTCAGGCTGGAGTGCAGTGGCACAGTCATAAGTATTGCAGTTTTGATCTGCTGGGTTCAGGCGATCCCTCCACCTCAGCCTTCCAAGTAGCTGGTACTACAGGCATGGTGCCACCAAAACCGGCTAATTTTTTTATTTATTGTAGAGATGAGGTCTCACCAAGTTGCACAGGCAGGTTTCAAATCCCTGGGCTCAGGCAATCCTCTCACCTCAGCCTCCCAAAGTGCTGGGACTGCAGGCATGAGTCACCATGCTCGGCTGTAAGATACAAAATTTACATACAAAAAAATCACTATTTTTGTTATTTTGCTTTTTGATTTCTATATATCAATAATGAACTAGCTGAAAAATAAATCAATAAAGTAATCCCATTGACAACAGCTACAAAAGGTAAAATACTTAGAAATAAATTTAACCAAAGAGGTGAAAGATCTCTACAATGAAAACTACAACATACTGACGAAAGAAACGACGCGGGAACAAACAAATTGAAAGACATTCCATGTTCACAGATCGGAAGAATTAATATTGTTAAAATGACTGTATTACTCAAAGCAATAAACATATTCAATGCAATCCCTTTTAAGACACCAATGACACCCTTCACATAAAAAGAAAAACCCTAAAATTTATATAGAATTACAAAATTTTATGGAAACAGAATAACCAAAGCAATCTTAAGCATAAAGAATAAAGTTGGAGGCATCACACTACCTGACTTCAAAATATATTACAAAGCTATAGTAACCAAAATAACAGAGTACTGGTACAAAAACAGACCAATAAAAATAGACCAATTAAACAGAACAAAGAACCTAGAAATAAATGCATGCATTTACAGCCAACACATTTTTCAACCAAGAACATACATTGGATACTTTTTTCAATAAATGATTCTGGAAAAACTGGATATCTCCATGCAGAAGAATGAAACTAGATCTTTAGTACTCATCACATACAAAAATAAACTCGAAAACTATAAAACTACTAGAAAAAAACAAATAATTTATAGGTTAAACTTTAAAAGCACAGGCAACAAAAATAAAAAATAGGTAAAAGGGACTGTGTCAAACTAAAAATCTTCTTCACAGCAAAGGAAACAATCAACAGTGAAGAGACAACCTAAAAGTGGGAGAAAATCTTTGCAAACTATCCATCCAAGAAACTAATATCAAGAATATACAAGAAATTTTTCAAAGCTCAACAGCAAAAAAAACCCCAAAAAACAAGGAAAAAACCCCAAATAATCTGATTTTTAAATTACCAAAGGATTTGAAAAGACATCTCTCTAAAGGAGACATACAAATGGCCAACAGTTATATTTAAACATGTTCAACATTATTAATTACCAGGAAAATGCAATCCAAAACCACAGTGAGATATCATTTTACCTCAGTTAGAATGGCTATTCTCAAAAAGAAAAGAAATAACAAATGTT